GAGTTTGAGATGGGTGTGAGATACTTACAGCAACTCTGCAAAGATTTCAAGAGAACATTATTGAGTTTGTTCAAATTTTCTGCCTCAAAACTGCGAGCCGATGCAACATTGTGAGACTTTTCCAGCCGTCACAGCTCAGTGGGACACCAGCTTAATGTTTCAAACACCAACACCCTCACACAGACAACTGTTCCTCACAATGCCTGATAAAGACCGCCTCCTTCCACATTACGGCTCTGCAGTTCGACCACAAACACCAGCCCACCGTTTCACACATGAAACCGTGAAGCTGAGAACAGTAACAGCGTTTCACCACAAACGGCAACGGCTGTTAGYGCAGCACAACAAACCATTACGGAGCTCAGGGTCGCACACGAGCTGAACGAAATCACACAATCTGCAACCAAAATATCAGCCGCTGGAAAGKACGGAGGTAAACAAAGAGAGAGGCAGAGGCAGAAATAATGAGGGACAGAAACGGGAAGAGCGTTCAACCGAGAGAGACAAATACGAAGAAATGCAAGAGAAATACAGGCCGGCGCGATGACAAGTGTGGAGATGAAAAGGGCAAACAGCCTCTTGTTATGTTGGAGCTCTGTGGAGACAGTACAGACGGATATTAATCAGAAAAGTAAAAAAAAAAAGGCTGTTTGATTTTTCCTGCAGCTTTTAGAACTCTTCACTCTTTGTGCTGCGGTTTTAATGGACGGCTTTAATTTCCTCTCACTAATACGGCCTCATTTTAATGACACCGGCTTTTATAAGGTTCTATTTAATTTTTTTTTTCTGTAACCTTTTGAACATTAAAGGCAGACTAAGCAGAATATTCCTAAAAAAGCCAAGTTGCAGACTCAAACCAACACCTCCATCTCCAGTCACATCTTAAGAAGTGTTTAATGGCCGATTTCTCTCCGGGGGGAACGCCCACTACTTTTATTTCCCCCGTTTATTCTCATTTTGATGTGTTCGGGGTTCTGGGGGCTTTGGGAACAAGACATTTAGACACCAAATAATGATAACTTGCTGGTCTGAGAACTATAACAACAAAGTAATTTGTTCAGTTTGCACACACTTAATGTCAAGTTGGCAGATYGTGCAGCTTCACATAGGCTCTGCCAACACAGCACCTTGACACGGTGACTTATTAAGAGAGCCAATATRTAAGAGATGAGACACCTTTATTACTGTTCTGAGGCGCTATCACGTAGCTTTTCATGGTCAATGCGAGCGGCCATCTTGAGCAGGGCGAGGACTGTGCTTCATGCAGGAAAAGCCTCGTTTCTGAGTCTGAATTTGTGAAAGGAGAAAAGCACCAGAGGTCCATGAATATTATTTCAGCAGCAATAACTGCGACCTGACATCTTGTGTGACTTGTTAAATATAGGTCAGCACATCACTGGAACTCAGAAGAAGAAGAAGGAATATTTTATGTTATTTATTGTACTTTTTGTTAATGTCCTACAAGCTGTTAAATAAGTTTGCAACTGAGTTTTCGAAAAAATTCATAAAACTTGAAAAAAATCTGTGAGATTGCTGTATACACCCGTATACCTGCAAAATGAGGGAAAATCTGTGAAAATTACACGAGAGTCCATACAACTTGACATGTATGGAATACGTGGAAGTGGAAGTGTCAGGAACAGTAGGAG